AAAAATTAAAAGTAATATTGCTTAAAGCTGAATTCCAACCACATACAACATACAGATGAATGCAGCACTGCATTCATTATTACATACCATTTTTTTTTAATATCAAAGCAGTGTAAGTTCCTTTCACTGTCCAGTCACAGGCCTTGAAGATTATAGCATTATGTTTACTTCTTTTTTTCTATGTGATCTTTGAATAAAATGTTCCATATTGAAAGACTCCATAAATGACAGTCTGAATGAAGAGCAGGCACTCTCTGGTACATGCACATCACTTTGATCTATTTCACAATCCCTGAAACCCAGGACATTCTAATATGAAAATCGAAACCTTTGCAGTTAAAGTCGACCCAAAGCCATAAGTGAAGCTTGGCTAGAAGTCCGCTACTGGTGTTTTATATGTCTTGGTTACTCGAACAATGAGATCTTCTTGCCGTAATTCCCAACTTTTTTACTGCCCTTTTGCATTTTCATATCACATAAAATCAATATACAGTACAACAAGGAGAGTAGGAACTCCTTTATAATGGTCACAGCAGGTGTACTGACCAAATCCAGAAACCCAAGTACATAGATCTGACCTATCTCCAAGAGATATCATAACTTGTCAGCCGTTTTAACTCTGACACCTATCAAAATTTAAATATAAATTTTGGCTAAACAGACTCTTTAAAGTTGAGGGCTGGCCTCCACAACTTCATATTGAACCAATAAAGTATTTTTAAGTTGAATAACCAATAGTGAGCTGCATACAAAGTGTATTGTCATGAAACTAGTCGGGTTTTGTCTTTTGTATGATAGTTGTTTATATTTGTATAATGCAGATAGATAAAGCTAATTTTTAAGATCAGCTGTACCTAGGAGCAATGTTTTATATTTAATTCCATGATTATCCATTTTGAAAGCATGCTATTCAAGTAGTATATATTGTAAGTTGCTGTATAGATAAGTAGCCTTATAGCAAAAAGTGAGATTTGTGCTTGAAATGCATTTTTATGCATTTAGGGCCCATTTACATCAAAATAGGACGTAAGCCTTGACTTCCGTTCTGTGGCATTTTTAAAATATGTTTTTCTTTTTTTTGCCAATCTTTATTTTAATTAATATGTCTTGAGTGGACAAACATTTATGTATTATTATTATTTTTTTACCTCTGTTGCTTTGCGATTATATCTGTTTTTGTTCCGTTACTTTGAGCTGAAAAAAAAAGCATACTCTTTTTTTTTCATCGCACTGCAACAGTTTGCAGCGGTGTGAACTGGTCCCATTCATCTTTCAGTGTCTTTCCATTAGCATGTGTTAAAAATGTATTGCAACACAACGAATCTGGGGTGAATGGGGCCTTTGACAGTCGTAGATAGTCTACTTTCGGGGTTTTTGTCTGACATATATCTGCATACAGCCGTTGACTTCTATGGGAGGCTGTATGCAGCACCTGTGTGTCCCTAGCAAGGAGTATACGCTGGAATATATGTTGTAACGCCAAAGGTGGCCATTTGCATGAGCTTTATATGAGTATTTAATGTATCATATGCGTGCTATTTACCTGTGAAAGCCTCCCATGTGTAGACATGTAAAAGCCCTGAGACAGTGTCAGGGTTTCTTACCCTACTTTGTCCAATTGAGCTGCAGCTTGTCTTCTGTTTCAGTGTGTATGACACTGTTCATTCCTTTTTTGCGCCCTGTTATGCACAAACCCATAAACATCGTCATTCTGGAACAGCTAGCAAACATTTTTTTGGCAAACTTCCTGTCTTACAGAGAAGATGCAACACCAGTTCACTATTTAACCATCAGCTTGTCCATGTATTCTCTGCCCTTCGTGTGTTCTGATTTACCAAGTGCTCTGCATTTGTTCTTGTTCTCTGTGTATGACCTTGGCTCTGGCTGACTGATCTCTTGGTTTCTGACTCTGGCTATTGTTTCCATTCATCCTGCTCTCAGTGTTCCCTGATGTTTAGCTGACTACCTGCTTCAGTGTCTGACCTCTGGCTTGACAACGACAACGTCCTGGACTTTCTCCATTGTTTTTTTGCCATTTTGTTTATTGTTATTTTTAATAAACTCCTTGTATTTTTTATCCTGCAAGTTTTTATCTGGTTTCTTGGTCTACTAACAGACAGTTCCTAGGCACTGCCATTTTAAATGTGATTACAGTGGCCCCAGCAGACACAGGGGTGTTATTCGAGTGACATTCTATAGTATTCCACTTCACTTCTCCCCCAGGAACTACATAAAAAGTGATGTATTTAGGGAAGCGGCAGAGGAGAGGGTGCAATAAGAGAGGGGGCTGTGCTAGGGGATTGATTCTTTCTGAAGAAGTCAAATTTGCTAGGCACATTGCAAGTGAATAAAAAATTGTTCATGGTAGAGAAAAACCCCTCAAAGTAAGCATTTGAAATACTTATTTATTTCACCTGTAGTTTTTTTTAGGTTGGTGACGAAACGCAATGTTTATTTTACTTATCCATGTTGGGTGCATGCTGGCCTTTGTGCCTTATCTTGCTATTGCCTTCATTCCTAGCTGGCCCTCACAGAAAATGTAAATATGGTGTTAACAGTGCTGGCTGGATTCTACTGTCTATTTTTGAAAACTTCCAGACTGGTATTGCACCGCATTGTAAGGCAAATTTTGTCAAATGAACTTGACTGTATGTTCTAACCTTGACCTTATTGGCTGAACAGGAACTCATTTCAATACCCATCCCACATTTATTATCTTACAATAATGGCTTTCTTCCCTCTTGAACTTACTGACTCTTTTACAGTAACAACAGGGAAGTAAGCCTTTTGCTTTTTCTTTTAACATCATCTGGATCTGAAAGAAAAAACTTCCTGCACCTGTTAACTGACAAGTGCTCTCCAAGGCTCTTGTCCATGGCCACAAAATGCTTGAAACACTTAAATCACAATGATCATTTATACATGTTTTCTCTGCATAGTACACTCTAGTAAACAGGACTTATTTCCTCCAGAATCCTTTCTTTGCACTACCAAGCTACCGCCAGGCACATTAAGAAATTGTAATTTCCCTTTAAAGCTAGAATCTCTGATGTCTGTTTCACATGCAGTACATGTAATGCTCATATGTTGTTTACACTTACCAAATAAAGAGTTGCAAAGATCAGTGACAATGTAAACATTGTAAAAAATATTAGCTTTCCAGTAAGTGAAAGATAAGATTGGTTGTTAAGTGATTATGTGATGCACGTTTCGTGTTGTTTGTTGCCTTATTCAGTAAGCCATATTGGGGGGGAGGGGGGTTAGCTTAAAATATATCTGCTTTTAATTTGAATTTTTGCTTTAATTTTAGATAGAATAGGGGAGGGCTGTCTCATTATGGAGATTTCCTTTCATTTCCTGTCCATCTAACAGGAAGTAAAATTTTATATTTCCAATGTAAAGGAAATCCCCTCTTGGACAGTTGTCATGGGAACAAGTGTCCCCATTGGATGATTTTCTCTATATTCCTGTTCTGGTAGCAACGCAAAATTTTGGGTTTTCCCTTTCATTCCCAGTGGCATTGGTGTTCAGGACAATTAGAGAGAGTGAATCTGCCTAACAGGGACACAAAAAGCAATAAAAACTTGACAGGGATTCTAAGCTCTCACCACTCTATCCAAATCTAAAAAAAAAATGTTTTAAATGTATTAAAAAAAAACCTTATGTTTAGTTTGCAACTCTTATTATAACAAATGGCAAAATAGCCCCTAGCTCCTATTGAAATTAATTTAATGTGAGCAGAGGACTGTTAAAGATTAAGACATACCCCTCAAGCCAAAATTGCAAATAGAAATCTTCTTCATGCGCTCTACTAGAGCCACTAGATTTTGGCAGAAAGAGAAAGAGCATTTCTCTTTCTGTCACCTTGGCCTTTCTACAGCAAAAACTATTGTGAAATAGGCAATTTCCATGTTGTATATGTTGTTTATGATGGCAAAAGAGACTTTTTTTTTTAAATTTAGCTTTTTGTAAATTGTACTACCATTGGCTAGTTATGGTCAACATGCCTAACAGGCATTCAACAATGGCTAATATGTTAGGTGGTAAAAGGATCTTCCAAGGGTCTGATTATTATGTAAACTCCTCTTCATTAAATTCTTTCTTTTCTTAAGCTGGCCAGCATAAATTTAAAGCACTTCTGTAAGAACACCCCCCATCCGTGTTAGGGGTAGCCTCATGTGCTTTAACTTATCACTATCACTGCTTTGTGCTTCAGTGACCAGCCTGATCGCTGTCTCATGGCCCATAGTGGGTGAATGCCTTGAGATAAGCAAGGACTTTTTCAAAATGTGTGGTGTGTTTATTTACATTTACTTTTAATCCTTTATTGAATGAGTAGGGGTACAAATACCCCTTACACATTCAAACGGAGGGGGCGGCATCTGGGTGCACCCTTAATTAAAGGGGTCCCCTGATGCAAATAAGCCACCCTGCCCGCAGACCCCCACAATTGCCGGGCCAGGATTTTGGGGAAGAGGCCCTTGTTCCCATTGGCATGGGGACACCCTCCCTATGCCGAGCGCACATGGCCTGGTCTGGTGCAGGGAGGGGGGGGGGTCTCAATGCCCCCCTCCTTTCCTGCCCTTCCCGGCCTGTTCTCGGATCAAGGGTCTGGTAGGAACTTTAGGAGAGACCTCACAGTTTTTCCCCCCATTTTTTGGGGACCTAAAGGGCCTGGTATGACTTTTGGAGGGAACCCCACGCACCTTTTTTATTTTTAGCTTGGGGGAGGGGTCCCTCCTAACATTCCTACCTAAAAGGTCGGATATCAATTGGGGGAGAACCCCACGCTTTTCTTTTTTTTTTCTTCTGCGATCTGTAAAAAAAAAAAAGTTATTGTTTTTCTTTTTTGTCTAATGTCACTTTGCTGCAACATTCCTAACGAAAATGTCTTACATACTACCGCTAACAAAATTAAGGAAAATTTTGGCATACTGGTTATACATATTGGTTTGAGATCTCATTGTTCATAGACTGATTATGTCTTTGTTCTCCTCCAGCTATATGCAATTCCGTGGTTTCTGACAATGTTCACACGTAAGTCACAGTATTGTCATTTTATTCTTATGTTCTTTGCTATGGCTTTATGTCACACTTTTTTTTCCTGTCTACAGGCATTCTTAACAATTGCATTCCTTTATTGCTAGGTATTTCATATTTACTGATCACAGATATTAAATGTCAGCATACATCTAGAGGCTGTCAGTTGAAGCACACACTGGATGGATACAAAGGGGTTAAAGGCTGCAGACAGATATAAGTGGAGGTGTAATTGAAACTGAGAGGTAGATTGTAGTGGAAAAGGAATAAGCGGGGTCTCAGTGGAATAAGAGGACTTTGGAGTAATAGGAGTTCAATCAAGGTGGAAGATTAAATCCTACAAGGCCGAATTCACGCCTGCTGATCTGGCTGTTTCTCGCTAAAGGTTTCCTGTCTTATAACTCTACCGGTTTCTCATGCAGAGAGCGGGTCGCAGGAGGAACTCTTGTCAGGTTTGATTAAACAATTAATGGCTAGATCCCGGAATTGCTTGCATCATCCTAGCATGAGCAGAATCCCCAAATAAATCACGCTGCTTTTGTGGGAGCCAGAACAAGAGAGAATCTTCTCCTTTAGCATTAGCTAAACTCACTTTAGAAAGCAATTTGCACTTCTCTGAATTACACTTGAAATGAAAAGCTGCTTCTTAGTAGGTTAAGTAAAAAATCAAGGCCAATGCTTCCTAGCTGCAATTATCACATCTTTGAAAGAGAAAATGTCTTGGAGAGGTCAGCAGTGCTGTGGTGAGGCTCACATTAAACTGTTGTAATGGGCAGAATGGCTTGTGAAAGACAGAGGGCAGTGACATTTCCTTAAATCCACTGATCAGGTAGTGCTGTAAGAATATATGCCAGTAGTTAACACTGGTTAGCCTGATTTATAGTGTATCCAAACCCAAGGATAAACAGTTTGTGACAGCTTACAGTTTTTTCAGGCTTTTTTTTTCTTTATTTTTCACCCAATGATCTTGCCAGTAACACACTTCTTGTTCTAGGGTGACAATGCTATCTTACGGTAATGTATCTATAGAAGGGTGGAGTTGTCTCCCTAGGACAGAAAGTAGGTTGGGACTACAGAAAACCTCATATCTTCATTTACATAACATATGGGGGAGGTTTTCTGTAGTCTTAGAATTGAACTCGGCAGGGCTTATAAGACTCCGTGAGATGTGTAGATGAACTCGCAAGCACACTGGATTTCTGGCAGGATCACCAGGTATTTTTGCACTTATCAAACAGATATAATTAAATGCTCCCAAAAGGGAGCAAGTAACATTTTAAATTCATTAATGGCTTATCTAATAATTTTAGGGAATGCAAAAACTGAGTATAAGTGCCTGCCTAGTACCTGAAGAAGAAAACCCAAAGCAAAAGTGGGCCACTTACAAAAAAAAACCAGTTATATTTTTTTGCTTAAGGTTAAAGATACAATTAAAGGGTGGTTCAGTTTGCCTTAGCAATGGAAAATCCTTCCTGGCGCCTAAATTGCAGTTGGAAATCTCTAGGATGTTCATTGTATTACACCTTTGCTTGCTGAAAACAATGGTTTTCCAAAATGTTTGGGGCCTAAGTGTTCTGATTCACAGACTTTTAGCTCCCTAACACTCTATAGGTGGTGTAGTAAATTAATGTTGTTTTAGAAAAAAATTGAGCTGTGTTCAAGCTTTCAGTCTCAAGCTCAGGAATTACCACTGCAAAGTTGCTGTGCCAATCTGAAGGCCACACAAAGTTTGCAGGTCTGTAGCTATTGACTCTGCAGATAGTTGGCGACTTCTGCGCACTGTGGCCTACCACTTCATGGCTGAGTTGCTATTGTTCCCAGTTGCTTCCACTTTGTTATAATACCACTAACAGTTGACCGTGGAATATTTAGTAGCATGGAAATTTCACAGAATACCTGCATACAATGATTTGGAGGGGTGTCCCAATACTTTTGAGCATATAGTGTCTCTGTTTGTAGATTGTCATTACTAAACATTTCTAAAGGTGCCTTGTTATTTTGAAGATATGGGTAAAGTTCCTCTTTAATGGGAAATATTGGTTGTGTTTCCCAGGGGCTTAGACTTCGTCACTGGGCATATGCAGGGAGGGATGAAGAAAGCTAAGGCTTCATACCAATCTGAACATGCCAGTATGAACTGAATCTGGTCAGTAGCCAAGAATGAATTTTTCGTCTCATCATTTTTTAATTTATGTTTTTTTGACTGCCATACTAGAATAAATTTAATTCTGTATGACACTCATTATAAGAGCTGCAGGGTCAAAAGCACACAGAACAATCTAATATAACCTTTTTGTTTTTTCCTTTTCCTCAGAAAAAAACACACACCTTTCTCTATGCAATGCCATATGTTTCAGGAAAAATGGGCAGTAAAGTAATTGCCACTTAGCAGTCCCCTCATAGACACTCAAGAAATATTCCTATCCATGGCAGCCCATTACCCTCCATCCAAGTGAAATGAATGGCTTTTGGTGGAGAGGTTTTTTTTTTAACCAGTTACATTACATTGCTTAATAGCTTCAAGCTGTAGTAAATGCACTCATAGTTACCAGACAAGCTGCTGTCTAGAAGTGTTTAATACCATTTAATAATTCACCTGTCATTCACAGATTAAAAATTTGGCTGTACTTTTTTTAGTTTAAATAACAACATCTGTGTAACTGGGAATTGTCAGTTTTGGCATTACATTTGTTTAATACAGTAAGTTCTAATTATACTCATCATTGACTCTGATAGATTAAACGCTGTCTTTGGCATTTACCATTTGTCTCGATGATTTAGGATGTATTGTTTAAAATCTATTTTCTTTCATGATCAGGGCTCAGGTACATGAGTAATATGTTTTGAAAGGCATTAATCTGATTAACATGCAGTTATTTATTTTTATTTTTCATGCAAGAGATATTTATCAGTTTGGAATTTGTTTATTCTTTTCTCTGTAAAATGGCCCTTTTTTCCCCTTAGCAAAGCTGTTCACCTCTGCCACAGTAAACCCCAATTACCTCTATCTTCTGCCATTTAACAGTAAAATGTCTGAACCTCAGGGGGATGTAGGGGCTCTGACATTTAAATGACAAGGGGCATGGCTTAGAATTTGTAGGAGCTGGGGCTTAAAGCTGACTCATAGTTCATGAAAAATATCAATAATTAAATTTATTTCAGGTGAATACATACAGCCCTAACTATGTTCATGTACCTTCTTTTTTTGCGATACACGATGCGTGGCTAGCCGTGATCATGTTCGGATGCACAGGCGGAATCGCGGCAGAAAACTGGGTGAGCTGCCAGGTGCGACTGGGATGTCATTAGAAAATAATGGCATCCACAGCGCGACCGTCTGTGATGGGCGATTCCGTGACCGCGTGGTATTGCACATGATTGCCACGTGGTCACAGATTACCTAGGCACCAGCCCTTAACCACTTGAAGTCCGCGGTGTTTACACCGCTTCCTGTCCGGGCCATTTTTCAGTATTCAGTGCTGCGGTACTTTGACTGACGTTTATTCCGTCATGCAGCGCTGTACTGAAATACATTTTATACCATTTTATGGGGACTGATAGAGCTTTCTTTTGGTGGTATTTATTCACCACTATGGGTTTTTATTTTTTACTATATTAAGGGAAAATTACCGAATTTTTTTTGTAGCGCAATTGTCGTTTTCGCGCGCTGGTGCACCGGACGTGTATTTTCGTTTATATGTGCGTAAACGTGGGGTGGGGTACTTAAACATTTTTGTTTGTTTTACTGTTATTATATGTGACTTATTTTTTTTAACTCATCAGGCTATAGAGCCGCTGATCGTGTATATGTGAAACAGCCGGTAACGGCTTTACACATCAAACAGGATTCTTCTGCCCGGGGCGCGCGCAAGCAGAAAAAAAATGCCGTCTATAGACGGCAACCCACCAATGCGACTAAGCCGTCCATCCGTTTTTTTGCAACGGGCGGACGGCAAATGGTTAAAACATCCTTAATCCATAAATAAAGAAAACCTAATGTGTTTTCAGTAGTATATTTTGTAAATCTAGCATGTTGTCAAATTCAACATTTAGGCTAGGTTCACACCTATACCGCACAAAACAGAGATTTGCAATCAAGTCTATGGAAGCTGTTCACAACTTCACACCTTTGTGATTTGTCGAGCGGTTGAAATCGCCTCTTAAGCAAAAAGGAGCTGGAGCTATTTTCCGGTGGTTTTTGTGCGGTTTGGGTCTTATAGACATTTGTATGCATTGAAAACTACGCGACAAAACGCAAACAAAACGCGTAAAAACAGCTCACCAGCTCAATCGCCTAGGTGTGAACTTATTGTAACATTGCAAAAATTGTACAATTAGACAGCGGGAATCAAATAATCCCGATCAGATGGTAATAACTGAGCATCTTTTTTTGGGTGAGACCCTGTTCCAACCAAACCTCAAATACTACAAGATAGTAAACCAGCAAACCTCAATTGCATAGGTAAAAAAGTAAGAAAGTAGGAAATTATCGCAAATCACTCACTGAAAAAGTGGTGGAGAATAAAAGAGAAGTGTGCAATAAATGAAGACTGCATGTAAGCAATGCAGAAAGGGTTTGTGAAAAGGTGTTTGAGGGAGTGGAAAGAAGGTGTATCTGCAAACATGTTTTGGGAACCAAAACTAAGAGGTTCGGACCTTTCCTCAACGAATTGTATTGCAAAGCTAGCAATACATCATTAGCTTTCTAACATCTTCTCTGGCAGGCCCAAACATGATCCAAGTCTATCTGTTTGAAGCTTACATTTAGTCAGCTAAGTGCTCTTTCCCTGCCTCCACATGGCAGCAGTTGGCTACCCATGCACCAGCACTACATTGTGGTAGGAAGGGGAGAACATCACATGCTCCCCAATAGCTGAAAATACTATCTGTTGTTTTAAGAGTAATATATGCTAGTATCATATGAACATAGGTACTGCTATAAGAGATCAGGCATTCCAGAAAAGATAATGAGAATAGTCAAATTTACCATGATAGGTAGTACTGCACAGATTTATATCGAGGCAACATTGTCAGAGGCACAGAAATATATTAGTGGGCTGAGGCAGAGTGATACTTTACCATGTAGTCTTTTAATTGTTGCAGTAGACCACGGATGGGCAACTCCAGCATGACTCCCAGAGGCATGTTGGGGTTTATAGCGAAAGCACAGCTGCAGGGCCAGAGTTGCCCACCCCTGCAGTAGACAAAATTTATTAAAGAAATAGGCATAGAAATAGGCAGACAGGTTTTAAATAAACCCCTAAGTGTTTGATACCTGAGCACAGCAACAAAAGGAGCCAATTATTTATATTGCTTTGTTCATGTTCGACCAAAGAACACACTGACAGAATGACAGTACAAAGGTGAAAAAAGCCTAAAATAGTCAAATGAAAGCAGCCACCACAACTAAGAGTTTATAGGCTGCAATATATTCAATTTTTATTTTTGGGTTTAGATAACTTTCAGGGAGTTTTAGAGATCAAGTCAGCATAAAAGTATAAGTCCTTACAATGCCTGCACCAAGATCTGACAGTTCTGATATATTTGCACTAATAAATTATTTGTGCTGCTGTATTTTATGACTTACTTTTCTGCCTACTAATAGTAATATAGTCACCATATTTGCACATTAGATTAGTGGAATCATGATAGAAGCTAGGTTACCAAGATGTTAGCACAATGGAACTTTATTATAAATTAGGTTGCCCATTTTAACAGAAAATATTTGGCTTCTGTCAGTTTATCTTGGGTAACCCTTAAGTTATATACATTAATTACCACTACCCCTAAATGTGTGTCCCTTTTTTTCTCAAACCATAACTTATGCTGGTAGACATCTGTTTGTGGGAAAACTGCTATATTGTTTACAGATACTGGTGGACTAAATCATCTACTGGCTTATTTTATCTCTTCAGGACTCAAATGATTAGATCTAAACAGAATAATCAGTTTTTTAAACCTACCATGCAGCGGCGTACATAAGCTCGCAATGAACTAGTAGCTTTCCAAACTAACTTTCATACAAAAGATCTCTCTTTACCGCCCGATAATGCCATCAGACACTTGACGAATGTCTATCGAAATTTCATTTGATTTCAACGTTCGATTTTGGAATAAATGAAGTTCCCGAACAAAACCACATTCAGTGTTAGAAGTTCATTCATTTTAGAAAAAATTTCCATCCTGCTGTTTCGAGTGTTTCCATCACTGTGGTCCAAACAATCGCTGGTTTGACCCCATCAACTAATAGACAGTTGAAGTAAAGATCTTTCGTATGAAAGTTCTTTCGAAAATCTAAGCGGTGTATGGCCAGCTGTAATGTTGGAGCTAGACTACTCCATCCTCTTCCCCAATCTTTGTATTGAAACCTAAAGTAAAATCCAAAAGAGATCAGCTTAGTTTTTTGTCTTTATATTTGTTGTTTTCCTGTTTAGGCTTAGGAGATATCCCCCTCTGTTCTGACGGTAGCAGTGTCTAACCTGTTCTTATCTTAGTAACAGGCCCTTGAGTGAGGCCATATGGTTTCTTGCTAATAAGCTGGCACTGCCATTGTTACTTCTGCTTCATTTCTCTTTTTGAACTTTTGTACTGTTTACATAAAATGTATTGCAACATAAAAATCCAACAGGGAGTAGTAAACTTCACAGTGTGACAGGGAGCAGTCTTTACACCTCACATGTAGAGACTTCACTGCAAGAGTTCTAAAGAAACATAACACTCAAGAAATGTGACCCACCAGCTTCTACCCAGAACGAAAATATTGGCTTTGCGTGCACGGACCCTCAAAATGGCTAATCCGGTTTGTTTTATGGGACAATTATCATTTGGTAGAACATCAAACTGATCGATGGGTTAATTTCTCAGGCAGGGGAGCCAATGAACTTTTGAGAAGTAATTTAGGGTTCTTGTAGCAAAGCTTAAAAAGCTGCTTTGGGACGGATAGAGCCAGAAGTGTGTTGCGCTGGCACATTGCCACCCGGCAGCCTTGTAAAATGAAAATAAAAATTTCTTCACGTCTCTCCGTGCATCTCTCTTTATCGTAGGCAGATCCTGAGGTGTTTTTCTCATTCATTATTGAAGAAGTGGGGATTCACAATACAGAACACCTATGAAGACGTTTTCATCTTTCAGTTAATCTCTCTAGGCACATCGGTATTTTAAAGATGTGAAAACGTACAGTAAAGCACAATTTCCTTCAAGGAATCCTAGGCATTAATGATTAAACACAAATGCCTAATGATTGAACTCTCATACTTACCATTTCCACACTCTGCAAGAGGAAAAAAAAATTGATGCTAAGAAGCCCGATGTATGGCACACTAGTGGTGAACTCTGACCTTTGTTCATTGGTCAGGACCGTCTTTAATATTGATTGGACCCCGGGCAAACATTTTCTTGGGCCCCCCACCACACCCCCCATGCAATATTGCCCGCTATATGCTGACAGAGCAGCGCTGCAGCTGGGATGGATCTAAAAAATATTGTCAAGATCCACCCCACCACCTGATTGACAGCTGACTCTACCTCTCCAGAGGTTGTGTCCGCCCCATCCATCCCTCCAGTCAGCATTGGAGGATCAGAGAGGGGGGGTATTCCTGCGAGGAGCCGTGACTGACAGTCACCGCTCTCTGCAGAGAGAGTGAGTGCAGGAACTGAGTGATCAGCGGTTATGTGATCGCTCAGTTCTCTATCAAGAGAGCCATCCTGTGGCAGCTTCAGTAATTAGGGGGAAGAGCACATTTCACTCTCCCCATAATTCTACTTTCATGGTAAATGTGTGGATAATTTGCCACCTACCACTGCATAGAATAGCAACAATAATAATAATGATACCTGAGCATGTCCCCCCAGTGTCATTATTATTATGTCCCCCCATTGTCATTATTATTATGTCCCCCGGCGTCATTATTATTATGTCCCCTGGTGTCATTTTTATTATTTTACAATAATAATCATCACTACGGATGCACTGATACCGGTTTTTCGGTATCGAGTACCGACATTAATATTTCGGTACTCACCCATACCGAGTACTGATACCGGTACTTCCAGTAGCAAAGAGCCGGCTTCACGGGCAATCAGGGAGCCAGGCAGCGTGTCATTGCCCACTGCCGGGCTTTTTGATTGCCCGGGAAGCCGACTCCATTCTGTTTGGTCAGCTCGATGCTGATTGGCCGGGAAGCCGTCTTCCCAGCCAATCGGCATCGAGGCCGGCCAAACAGATCTGCCAATATGGCGACACGACCCCCACCCTGCAGACACCTCATTCCCCTCACATAAATCCTTAGCAGCATTCATTACTGTACCAGTCCCTTGGCCAGATACCGCAAGTTCTCCGGGATCTGCCCACGTCTCCTGTGTGCACAGCGCCAGCGTGATCGGCCCTCAGCCTGCCACTGCGGACACGCAGACTGATCAGAAATCCTGTGCATGCGTAGTAACAGGCTGAGGGCCGATCACGAAGTCAATTCGTTTTTTTTAACTCAACCGTGCAACGTTAGTTGTTTTATGATTTAATGTTTAATGTTTAGTATGTTTAACTGATTGCCCTTCACCCAAAGTATTCCAAATTTGTCTCATCAGCAGACGTGCTTAACTAAATATGTAATACACTACTGTGAAGAAATTGTAGTCCTCTCAGCACATGATGGTCTATTATTAACTTCTAAGCTGCAGCAGTAGAGTTGAAAATGCACAGGAGTAAGGAAATAAATATATCATGTGATATGCCAGTCCTAGTAGCAATCACAGAAACCAAAACATGTCTCACAGTTTTTTTTCTTTGCACTTGCATACTCCATTTACATTACATTCACAGTAAAGTTATCTGTGACTAAGCTGTAAACATTTCATGCAAGCTTATCAACATCCTTCTCTTCATATGCCCCATAGTACTGCAAGTTATTGCTTACAATGCTGATATCACTTATTATTTGGAAACTACCAGGCAACTTTAGTACTAATTGGGCTTATTATGCTTATAACACTAGCAGATTTCAGCAAGATGAGAAAACAAATGGAACCCAAAAATAAAAACATTAACAAAAACACTACCAGCCGTGATGTTATACACTGAGCTTAGGTTTATAGTCAAGCTTCCAGAGTTCCATATTGAGAAAAATTGTTATATTACTGTTAGAATTCAGTTCATCTTTGTATTTACTGGAAGATATGCCTGCATGTAAAATTCTCAGGGGCATATTTTTAAAGAGGTGATTGTGACCTTCACCTGGCATCCACAGGCAGTTCTAATACTCCCTGTAGTTTAAAACACATGCACCTACTGTACATAGAATATCTGGTGAATGTCACTTAATAAATAGTGTTAGAAAAAAAGAGACAACGTTATTTCCAGTCCTATGTCTTCTGTATTATGATGCCATCTAATTAGACACGATGATGTGAGGCTGTAACAGAATCTATTGATATGACAATTTAAAAACAAAGTAGTGTTCTTGTGTTATACTTTAATAATCCAAATAAACCCTTTATTCTTTTATTTTATAGATGTTTTTCCTTTGCACAAAATATTCCATTTGTGGGACACCTTGCTACTAGGGAACGCCTCTTTTCCATTTTGCATTGGAGTGGCTATTTTACAACAGCTAAGAGTCAGACTTCTTGCAAATGGATTTAATGAATGTATCCTTCTCTTCTCAGATTTACCAGGTAAGCTTTTTCAATAGATTGCTCTGTATTCTAAAAATCAAACTACAATTTTTTTGTATTTGTTTTGATTTGATGGCATGCCAGTTACAGTAGGAACCAACATGGTTTAAATCAACACAAGAAGATGTGTAAAGGTGTCAGCCTGAAGGAGAGCAGGAGAGATAAGCTTACAGTGCATCTAAAGCCCATTTTCTTGTAGTTTTAGAGTGGTGAGGGGATAGAACCACTGTCAGATTTTATTGCTGTCTGTGCCCCTACTAGAGTAATGCACTTCCTATTTGTTCTGGTGACTACTGTGATAGAGACTAAAAGTGCATAAAAGTGAAGAAATGTTTTTTTCCCAATAGGACCTGTGTTCTGGTGATAGTTGTCCAAGAGGGGATTTCCTTTTGTAGAAATGACAAGTAGTAAAAAGAAATCATTCTAAACTAGACAGGAAGTGAGGGGGAATCTGCCATTGGGACAGGTATGGATTTTAAAAAAAAACACATGGAGGAATGTATCACACCTGGAGCAGACAAAATCAGGAGTTGCTGTGCATGGCAACCAATCAGCTTCTCTCTTTCATTTTCAAATCTTAACTGAACAATCTAAAGAGAGGAGCTGATTGGTTGCCATGCACAGCGGCTCCAGATTTTGGAGCCGCTGCGCATTGGAGATTCTGCCCCAGTTTGGAGATTTTGCCCCAGTTTTTATAAATTCCCCCCATGGGGTTTTAACTATTTTCTACTTTATCCAATTAAAAAAATATATTTTTACATATCATTTAAATCAAATCATTAGTGGCACACTAATCATGTTAATAATAATAACAATAATAAACTGCTTAACTACATTTAAGGCCCATTCACACCATGTGCGGATCATCTCCAGACCAGATTCTTTCCGGACCCAAAATGCATCCTAATGTATCCCTATGCTATTTCTGGCCTCTGTTCACACCGGCGCAGTCCGTTCCAGGCCAGACCAGAAAAATACTGATTATCCTATTTTGTCTGGTCTGGAATGCACTGGAACGCATAAAAACGTATCAAAAATAAATGAAAATAAAACATTTCCAAACGCGGCAAAAACGCAATGCACTGTGTTCGAGATCTGGTCTGGAAAATGGTGTGAACCTACCCTTAAACATATTTCTGGAAACGGCACACAGGAAAAAGAAGAAATGTATATTACCATGATCAGGTTCAAAAAGTGGATTGAGCCTAATTTAGAGCTGACTTTAGACCAAGACAAGACCCACAAACAGCATATGTTTTCTAGTGCGCATCAAACTATCACATCAGTTCATAACAAGAGTAAGCATGGAGGGGCAATTTGCTACAGTTGCTTAAAACATATTCCCCAGCATCAGGCTGGCCAGCCTACTTCTAAAATTTTAAATTAAAAGAAAGGTCTTCATTTCATGTATATACTAGTGCAATAGGTGGTCATTTCCAATCTCTCCTGTGTTTATGTAATTTTGGGTTGGACTGGGGTGATTTCCCTTCATTTCCCGGCCCATAGTCACAACAGGAAGTAAGAGAAAATTCCTGCAGTGAGAGAAATCCCTGGTGGTCAGCAGGGTCACCAGAACTAGTGTCCCCATTGGAAGATTTCCCTTTTATTCCTGTTCTGGTGACAACTCATAAGTTGAGATTTTTTTTCACTCTTGGTGATAACGATCACCAGGACATTTGGAGACCGCAATAAAAACCTAACAGGTGTTCTAATCCTTCTCAACGCTATCCAAAACTGAAAAAAAAAAGTTTTTGGCTTTATGTATTTACAGTAATTTGATCAGTGTTATTGGTTACTAGCATATCTGGGATATGTACCAGTTCCTGAGGACTGGGACTGTTGCGTTTGGTAGTATAAAGGGCTCCTTTTGACTCCAATACGATAAAGAGTTGCTATATAAAAGTTATACATATATTATCAATGCATTATATTTTTAAAAAGTTATTTATAAGTGATGGCTGCGTTTTATTCCCAAACTGGAACTTGACATTGGCATACTGCTAATATGAATTTGTCCCTTTTTGCCAGTTTGCAGAAATGTGTATACTCTCAAATAATTTTACGTGTGCAAAACAAAATGGAATACAAAATAAAAGACCAGTAATGTGTATAATATTTTAAATGATAATTTAGGAACGTTAAATTCAGCCAATAATAATAAACATTTGCATAACTGTGCTGTAATTATGTTGCATTAAAAATTGTACCTGCTTAGATCTGTTCATGCAAAATTGTTCCCTAGGAAACCTAACAACTCGAATCTGTTTTTCTGATTTATTATTAGTTCTACACAATCATATTCTGTAACTGCTATGTGCACAGCGCTATCAGGTGGCAAAAAGAAAGAATATTTACATCAGAAGGGAATCAAAAGGTGCCAGGTTTCAATTGTTTTTGTATGACTCAGAGCTTCCTGCAGTAATGTGCAAAGCAGGATAGGAGATACACAGTTATGCTGGTTTTTAAAATGTCTATTTTTATTTACTTGCAATGTGCCTTTGAACATGCTAGAAAATTTGACTACTCCAGGAAGAGTCAATTCCCTAGCACAGCTTGCATGTCATAGACCTCTCCACTTCTGTTAGTGTCTAATAACGCTCTATGCTGGTCCAGCATCTACCTCTCCCCATCCATCTCCCTACATACCCTTTTATGAGCGCCTCCCTCATATTTGTAATCAATAAAGTCAGCTGATTAGGGGATAAAAAATGTTCATGTAGATTGTTAGCATAGCCCAAAGTTGAGATTAAGTTGGGTTGACAAGGGCACAAATTAGCAGGACGTCGACCCTATTTGTTAGTGATCGCTAAAAATGCAAATGACATTGCATTCACTTATATATGAATTTGCACAGTAAACACAAATGTCAAACTGGTCATCAGACATAATTGGTACGACCTGGGAACTAATCTGGAGAGGGAATATTTTTATTTATTTTAGGAAATAAATATAGACATGTTAATACACATATTTGTGTATACTGAATATTATTTTTCTATCATTTTTTTATACGTTTTAATTTTACAATTTTTTTACACTTTCGATTTAAATAGTTCTTATTAAAGGTTATGAACAAACAATTAACAAGGGTATAGAATGTCGCAAGGTTTGCATAATAAAACACAAATAAAGTATACAATAAAGTGATTAGAATTTTGACCACATGTGTTCCTTCTTTTGTGGAAGGCTGTAGGCTCAGGGAATTTTTAGCGAGTAAAGGAGCAAGAATGTGTGCATGGGCATTGCAGATGGATACAGTATCCAGTATTTAGAACTAAATATGTCTCCCAGACCTGTTCTTCCAAAACCCCATCTATAGTTAGAAGGTACATAGTCTTTTTTTTAAGGGGGGTCTGGATCTTGTCAGTGGAGACTATGCAATCAAACTGGTAGTGATCAGAAATAGATCACTATAGCAGTGATCTTTTACTGCAGGGAGATACGGAATGAGCTGTAACATCTGTATTCTGGCCTCCTTACACAGGGGAAGCGCCATGACATCACTACACTCCCAATGTAAACAGAAGCAACAACTATAGAAACATTGGAAGCCATGATTATTTCAGCTCCTGGGCTTAGTGCTGGGTCCTGGCATTCAGAGGCAGCCAGTGGTCCCAGCACTAGTGCCAGCAAGAGCCCACATAGCTGCTATACAATCTCTGTTCTAAAATGGTGGCTGGGACTCAAGTGGTTAAAGCAGATATTTATTTTTTAAAATATTATTGATAAATAATGATAAAAAAGATACAATTTTTTACTGCGCCTAATACTTTATAATATTTAAAATGTATTGAAGATATTTTGCCATAACGCAAGAAAATGTTGTATAATATTGCCTTTTGTTAGTAATAGAAGTTCCTACCTGCTGAGGATAAAAGTGAAATCTCAGCATGATTTATATATCATATTTACATTTACACATGTGTTTTGTAATTTTGCTGCAGTTGCTCAGTGAATTGCATTGCCTCCAGGAGATCAGGCAAGCACATCTAAGAGCTAATGCTCAGCTGTAGATCAGCACTGCTATTTCACCCGTGAGCACATTCCTATGTCTGTGGAACCTGGAGGCCCCAGCTTCATTTTTCTATCCCGCTTGGAAAGGAAATTAAAACGTATCTGTCAGGTAGAGCAGGTAGCTTTTATTATTCTTGTGAGTGACAAACAGAGGGATTGGTAAAAGCAAATATAACTTATATGACGTGTGCATCTTGCCAGTTTCTGGCTTTTCCAATACTGAATATGAAATGACCATCTTGTCGGATTGAACATCAATTATTTAAAACTTGCAGCTGTGTAAAGTGTATCTAGAGCCAGAGCTGCTTTTATTTTTTGAATAGATTGGTGAGCAATTAGAAGTCCGTTCAGGTTTAGCTTTCCTTTTGCCAACTGGGAAGATTTACCCTCTTTATTTGCCCCGGAAACCATTGTCACTGGAACTGAAATTGAAGGCAAATCTAACATTTTGATTAGTCACCAGAACAAAAAGAGAGAGACAATCTTGCAGGAGGAGATTTTCCCATGAAAAATGTCTAAGAGGGGACATTCCCTCACTTTGCAGAGATTTTTTCATACTTCTGTTGTGTGTCGGTATGACAGGAAATTAATTGAAATCTCCTCAATGGGATACAGATGGTAAAAAAAAAACCAAAAAAAACCAAAAAGGGTATTAACCATTCCCTACTGTATCCAAAATGAAAATAAAAAAAAGTTTTCGCTTTAAGATAAACTTTAAAGCCCACTGCAATTAAATGAGATAGCATATACTGTAAATATACTTGTCTTTTTGCTTTAACCACTTGAAGACCGGGGTGTTAAACCCCCTTCCTGGCCATTTTTCAGTATTCAGCGCTGCAGTACCTTGACTGACGTTTATTCAGTCATGCAACGCTGTACTGAAATGAACTTTATACCATTTTTTGGGGACACCTAGAACTTTCGTTTGGTGGTATTTAATCACCACTGGGGTTTTTATTTTTTACTATATAACAAAAAAGTACCCT